GTTGTAGATAGTTATAATGCAGTGATAAATACAATATTATATGCATATATAAAACAATTGGGTTTACAAATGCTTATTGTGCTTAAAAGATAGTAACTTAGTCTGAAATGTTTAATATAACAACTCTAGATGAAATATATAGGTGAACAGATTATGCTCAATATTTGTTAAAAACTTATCACTTTTGTCTCTTTCTCACCTTTAATGCTATTAATTATTTATAAAGTGTTTATAGAGGAACTAATAACGTATTGATAAACTATCTGTAATAGGAGCCTTATTGTAAAGTGGTACTATTTTCAGTGTAAATGTTTTTTTAACATAAAGGAAAAAAACATCTGTTCTCGGTGCAGATTATGTTTAATGCCTGATAAATTTCTATGAACTAATTGTTCAAACACACAAAATACAAATATGATCTTTCAGTCGTAGCCTTCAAATTCAACATGACAGAAATGTTCTCTAACAATATGTTTAAAGTTATTTCTAAAAGCAGACGTTATAGTCTTCTTCAACTTCCATCTTGTTATTTCAGGCCTGTGAGCTGGCAGCTTCTCTCTGTAGACAGAAAATAATTTAGAATTTCATTCTACTGAAAATTATCAACCAATTCTGATCCTAATATGACTTTGCTTAGCTTCAGATCCAGACTGTAGACCACTATTTACGTTACCCTAATCACTCATAAGTAGCTGCTAAAATAATCTTCTAAAAGTTTGAAATTGTATTGCACATGAAAGTAGAGCCTCCTCTTCCTGTTTTATACACTTAAATCTTTCCACTGTAGAGCCATGATCAGCTTTAAGTAAAGCCCGCCCATCTTAAAGATGTTGATGTTAAACATGCTGGCAGGTTTTCATGTCCTGCTGTTTAAAAACCAGAAGCTGAGTGAGGTGCAGCAGAGGTGCAGCAGAGGTGCAGCAGAGGTGCAGCAGAGGTGCAGCATCTCCAGCTGTGCAGAGATCTCTGCAGCTCTCCCTCAGCCTCTGAGAGCCCGGGCTCGCAGCACTGACCCCCCTCGCATCAAACTTGACTGCTCGTGTCCTGTCCGCACGCCGAGTTGTCGTGTAGGCTGTGTCGCTCTGTCACAAGACATGTCCCACATTTGCAGCCGCCGTCGTTGGCCAACAGGATGAGAGCGTCTGTCAGGAGGGCTGACACGCACGCCACTTCGCAGGGCGACTGACAGAGGGCCACGCCGCACTGTCACTTCTCCCGGATCTATTGCCTGAGGATAAACATGGACTCGCACGCACACACCGACGTTAATAACACAAGAGTAAACAGAGCTGGGATCTCGGGGACTGACTGACTGACAGGCTGACTGGGTGACCAGCCACGGCTGAGGAAGCTGGAGCTCTGTGTCACCCCTCATTCTTACAATCTCCAGCTGTCACATCAAACACTCTGCTTCTTGTGCTGCTGCTCCTCCAACAAACTCAGCCTCCCCCCCCTCCCCCAGCCTTCTGAACTGATGTCACATCACAAATGTTTCCTGTAGTGTGAGAGGAGACAGCGAGTGGCATTTTCCCTGAATGTCCGCATGGAATCAAGTTCCCACTCGTTCATTTGAACCAGAGTTCCTAATTACTTTTAGCTTATTAATGAGGTTCTTACTGTAAACATGTCAGAAGTAGCCAAAGCTTCTTTTCATCTGTTGTTCTTGATCAAGTGTTTCAAAATCACCTTGGAGAATGGATACAGATTATTCCCATTTAATTTTTGAAGCTTTTAAGGCAGATCTGGCTTTAAATAGTATAACACTGATCGTTTCAATAAGTTTGCTTTGGATGGAAGGTTATGATTAATAAATATTTCTTAGGTAGACAAGTCACTGAATGACCTCAGTTCGGAGAAGCAAAGACAAATTCTGACTAGACTGATGAGCTAATGGGTATTCAGAGCAGAGCCAAGGCCAAGGTGCATTCCTGCCTTTGTAAAACAGCTCTAATCGTAAAATTAGCCTTTTGTTTTAACACATCATCATAATCCTGTTGTACATTTGATGTTAAATTGTGATTTATTTGGAATTATGTTGTAAGTATACAGTACTGATGGAGCACCAACAAGAACTTTGCACAAAACAACGTGTCATGGTAAATTGATGGCAATGTAAAGATTTCTGAAACCGTTTGCAAGTTATCAAATTTTTCACGTGGCGTTGTTTTGAAGATGCGAGCAATTCATAAAAAAAAAAAGTATTTGCGATGTTTTGTCCAAATTGTCAAATTGAAATTTGTGCTCTGCATTTAACCCATTCAGTCCCTATACAAGCGGTGCAAGAGTTTGGTTCGCATTGCCGTGAGTAAGTCAGACCCCTTCAGGGTGGGAGTTGGACTCTGCCAGGGCTGCCCATTGTCACCGATTCTGTTCATAACTTTTATGGACATAATTTCTCAGTCCAGCCAGCGGGTGGAGGGATTCTGGTTCTGTGGCCTCAGGATTCCTTCTCTGCTCTTTGCAGATGATGTGGTCCTGTGGCGTCATCGTACCCTGATCTCCAGCTCTCACTTATTCTCAGCCAAGTGTGAAGCGGTTGGGATGAGAATCAGCACCTCCAACTCTGAGGCCATGGTGCTCAGCCGGAAAACGGTGGATTGAGTAGAGGATGAGCTTCTGCCTCAAGTACCGCCGGGTTTTGTTCAGGAGTGAGGGAAGAATGGAGCATGAGACTGACAGATGGATTGGTGCAGCGTCTGCAGTATTGCGGACTCTGTACTGGTCTGTTGTGGTGAAGAAGGAGCTGAGCTGTAAGGCAAAGCTCTCTGTTTACCAGTCGGTCTACGTTCCTCAGGGACACCATGACGTATAGACATGATGGGGAGTCGAACCAGTAACTTTGTGGTCCCATATCGGCTGCTCTTCTGCACCACAGCTGCCCCATTTTGGCTTTAGTCTGCCTGTTAGATCACCAATCCAATAAGAAATAACGTTTTTTCCTGTAAATTGAGGTTGTTCCAAAGAGCTATCTGCTATCTGACTGTGTAAAATATTTTCATAAAATCTGTTTTCAAAAGATTTGAACTATTACCTTAAGTTCAGTTTTAATGTAACCTTTTTCATCAGTGTTTGTCTTAATATAGTGTACCCCTAACAATCATATAGTTTGTAATAATAACTGTTTAAATGTGATCAAATAGTATTTTTAATTTATTAAAAGCTCTGCATATGTTAACAAAAAAAAATGGCTGCTGTTGTCATCAGCTCTGATTGCTATCTGGTAATTGTGAAAACTGGAAAACACAAATCAAATTATTTATGAACAGATCCATCTTTCTGTGAAGTTATTAAATTATCTATTAAAGATTTTATTTGAAATTGCCTCTTAGGTATAGTGCTGTGATTCACTGCATCTACTGAATTACAATCTACAGCACCCTCTCAGGGCAGGAAAACAAATGACAAGCAATGCAATTATTCTTGTAATTCCCTGATTATTAGTGATTTTTTTCCTCTTCTTGTATAAAAATAATTTAACAGTTATAATGATATATTTTGCTGGCCAGCAACAATGAGCTGGATGGAGGTTTAAGATAACAATATCTTTGTGTGACCTGAAAGCAGAACAGTTATATTTCTACTGCATATTTAGTCCACCTTATCTCACTGTTTACACTATAAATAGGTAGAAAACTGTGCAATTTGAATTTTAAATAACTCTTTATCATGCATACTCGGTCTGATTTTAATAAGTGTAATAATATTTGGCCCACATTGAGATTCATGATGACAGAGATAATCATGACTCTGTGCAAAGATGCTCAGATCCTGCTGTGAGAAGTCCCTCATGTGAGCAGGTGAATAAGGAGTACAGTAATGAGCAGTTTGAATTATCAGTTGTGTCGCTCTCCTGCCACTAGGTGGCGGTGTGGATCCACGCAACAAATTCACACCACAGATTCTAACCAGATTATTAACCACACACAGAGGGATGTGCTGAAGTATTAATGCAGCAATGGTCTTTCATTCAGATGTGGTGTCTCGTGTGGATAATACGTCAAGACTCATGAATACAAATGTATAAGTATGAAGCTCCTTCACGACCTGCAGGGTGTTAAAATCCAACTCTCAGTCTCTTACGTCTCAGCATGGTGCATTATGCAGGTGTGTAGACAAACCCAAAGCAGACATCAAGACCATCAGCTGCAGGCGGCGGCTGTACGTGCTTCTCAAGAGAGCCGCTCCGGTGTCACAGTTGTTTAACTCCAGTAATGTTGTCCAATTAAGTGTGATGTAAAGCAGCCTGCTGGGACCACCACATTTTGAGTTTATACTGGAGAGTCGCAGCAGCTCAGGTCAGAAGGCTACAGGCTCTGAACATGAATAATTAATCCCTAAATTGACCTTGTTCTTATCAGTGGCTCTTGCTGCTGGTAATAGCTGAATGTGACAGGCGCAGCTGTCCCAGTTTGTCATGAACGTTGTCATCCTAGTAGCACTGGAAATGCATACAAAGTGCTTTAACATGTAGGTTATAAGAAATTTAACCGTCATCTCACTCCACTGATAAACCTTTGAAGATGAAAGTTGGCTCAAACTTCAAAAAAACTGAATTTTTGAGGATCGCTTACACGAACGCCGGGTCGAACAAGATTCGAGTTTGAAATATTATCAAAGATACTCATTTATTTGAAAAGAAATAGATCATACAAATAAGGTCAAATCGCTTTGTCACAGAAAAATGATTTCATGAGGCATTGACAACAAAACGATCCCAGTTTTCTCACAGGAAACCCATTTGCCGTGTTTGCTTCCGACGTTGCTCTTGTGAGTTTGATGACATGAACAGCTGTGACGTGTGGCGCTTCCAAAAAGTGCTTTCTGTGAATCAATTACTGTACGGTGCAATGCCAAGTAAACAGAACATCACATCGGATCAGTCGCCGGTAAACAGTTTTCATATCAAAGAAGTGTTCAAAGTTTTATCATTACAGTATAGGAGAGTTCACAGGCCCAGTTCAAGCTCTCGGGCTCAAAGTATTTCACATTAAATTGCCTCCCTTTGGATTTACACTATTGACTTTTGATTAATGCTGCTGTTTCAGAACCTTGAAGAGTGCAGCCTCACATGTTCTTCTCACAGCTCAGCTGCCCTCTGCTCCCCTTAAGTTTGTCTCTCTGGCCTTCTGGAGCTTTAGAGTCTCCTCTTAAATCACACACCACAGCTCGGAGGGCTTTGAACGTGTCCATCCGGGTTATGTGTGCTGCGTGCAGCCTGACTTCTGAGCCCTGAGATGCATCCAGAGAGCTGAGCGAGTGCACTGAGGAGAGGCTGCGCTCCTTCCCGTTGGGACGGCGTGGCGTTGTCATGGTGCTGAGCTCCTCTGTGTGCTCCATGTCCCTCATGACCTCACAAAGGTAGCGAGCCAAGTCTTGGCTGGAGAACGAAAAGGCTCGCTGAGAGCGACGGAAGGTCAAAGGTGAAGATAAGGTTTCTGCCTCTGAGGGGGGAATGGCCAGACGCAGAGCAATGGCTGCGCTGCCGTTCCCGTTCAACATGACCTTTTTGCTGTTGTCCTGAGGAAGCTTAGTCTGTGGGTAGCCGTTGACGTTTTGTGGATAGCTGTAGCGCAGCGACTGTGCAGGGCTGGGCTGAAGGGAGCGCTGCAATTCCACCATGTTAAAGGCGTTCTGAGAGGCCAACAAAGAAAAGCAGGAAATGAACATGAGGGACAAAGAAGAATGAATCAGTCATTTATTCATACGTACTCTTTTGTCAAAAGTTACAAGAGAACAATACAGCAGCTCAGCTTCTGCCTCTGAAAGCCTATTTAGTTTTACTCTAAGTCAAGAATCCAGTGCACAAGAAAAGAAGTTGGTAACAACAGCACCTTTGATCAGCCAAGTAATTAATTATCTGATAGCAGTGAGGGTGTTTTACTGACACCAGCCCTATTAAATGAAGGCATTCACAGCTGTTGGAGCCTTATTGCTTAATTTCCCTCATTGACTCACATGGCTTAGTCTTCAAGGAATTGATATTTACTTATCATTTCACAGCACCAACAAGCACGTTGTTCTAAAGCAGGGCTATGCAACTAAACTGCTCAGGGGGCCACAGTTTCTGAAAGCCAGCAGCTCAGGGGCCGGACATCCAGCGATTAAAGTCATTATGTGAATAAATCAAGTATTACAATGATCTGTTACCTTTTAAATTTGTTTATTTTGTTGCATTGAAACCAAGCACAGTACTCTTTTATCGCGG